CGCCCAGGCTCCGCTCCGGCCAATGGGACGTACCTCCTCCCCCGCCGGGAGCGCCGCCAGCCTGCCCTGGCCTCCGCGCCCCCGGGCGCTACAACCGGGCTGGGAGTCCCAGGTGCCCCTCCCCGGCGGCCCCGCTGCGCGCCCGGTTTGCCAGCGCGGCCCTGGGGGCTGCGATCCAGCCCTCCCCTGGCCTGGCCACGCCTGGGGCTGAGGTTTCCGTGGTTCATCTGGGTGGGAGAGTGGGGGTGATGTGCCAGCCAGGCGTGTCTGGGTTTGCCCTCCAAACCACAACACGTCTCTCGCCTCCCAGGCCATGTGGGAGCCTTGTGCGGAGCTCGGATGCCTCCCTGGACTCTGGTCACAAACCTGGCTATTTACCTTTAATGACGCTTTTCACATTTCCACGTGAAAACTAAGAGATGCCTCCTTTAACTCTCTTTCTGTGCTGCATGGGCTTGCGTTTTATTTTCAGAGTTGGCTGGCACAGCAGATAGCTTTGTTGGTGTGGATGGTCTCAGTTGAGCTTTCTCTATCTACACATGATTTGTGCTTAAGCCAGAGGAGAAAGAAAGGGAGATGTATACAAAATAGGATGTGTGCACATGTATGGCTGATGAGTAGAGCTTTGGGTGGATACAAAAATGTGAATCCGCATCGATCCAGTCCACCAAGCTCAAGGTCTCATCCAATCTGCAATCCAGACTACTTGTATCCACTAAACAGATTTAGAGCAGAGGGAGCACAGATGAGCAAAGAGGGAGCAGACTCCTGCAGGGAGGAGGCAGGCAGCATGCCCCAGGTGAGTGCTCAGGAAGGGGCAGGGAAGGAGAAGCAGGGCAGGGTGGGCGCTTGACCCATCCTGTAGGGAGAGTTAGGATGCAACTTCTTGTGTCTTTTCTCTGCCAGCAGTGCAGGGGCAAGCCCTGGCACTCCTTCTCCTCCCCTCCCCCCCCCCCCCAAGGAGAGTGCACAGGAACCCACTTCATTCCATTATCTGCTGTGTCTAAAAGTAGTGGGTGGTAGCCATCCACAAGAGAATGCCAGTGAAAATGGGGTGGAGGTGGGGAGAGAGGACCAAAACCCAGATTGCTCAGTTTTTCTGCTTTGATTTTATTGCCATATTTGACAACAACTGCTGCCTAATTTTACTTCGTGTCAAATGTAATGAAATTGAAAACATCAACAAGAAGGATCAGATGGTCTCAGAATTGCTATTGTTTACCTCTTCAGCTTTGTAGTGTTACAGTATGTGTAATTAGTTCATTTACTGTAAGATTTTATTCTAGACTAGGGAGGTCAGTGGTTAATTGGTTAACTGGTAAACTTCACCCTTACCAGATGATACTTAAGAATTAAGTGTGGCCCAGTGGCTGGGGGGCTGCTCAAGCCCATCTGGACTTGCCATGCTGCACTGCACTGTGGGCAAGGGGGAGCTCCAGCTTGGCTGGGTCCAGCATGCTGCCTGCAGCGGACCTGGCCAAGCTGGAGCAGCCCATGGCGGGCCTGGCAAGATTGGAGCAGCCCCTCGCCCGTGGGATCCTGTTTAAGTGGTTAATTTGTGAAGTGTAATATTGAATTGATTAACAGATTAATCAGGGATTTTACAGACCTAATCTATAAAATCCAGCTATAGGAGCATATAATATTGATGCTACTTGGAGTTAGCATAAATTATAATTCATGTCTGTAACTTTAGAAGTGCAAATTCAGGAATTTTACATTTAAACTGAAGATGGCTCACAGCTATTTTGCTCTGAGCTGTGAGTTCTTCAGATTTCTTAAGATAAGCAGCATTGAGACGGGTTGGGTCAGTATCTTTATAGCAGTGGTCTCCAACCTTTTTAGGCACAAGATCACTGGATTTTTTTGAAATCCAGGATCATCAACCTCAAACCCAAATACCTTTGCCCTGCTCATTCTAACCTCCCCCATCCTCACTCATTTTCACAGAGCTGAGGCAAAAGGGTTGGGATGCAGGCTCTGGTCTTGGAATGTAGAAGGAGTTCTGGGGCTGATCCTGGAGCAGAGAGTAGGGAGACAGGAGGGACTCAGGGCTAGGTCAGGATTCAGGATGTGGGCTCTGGCTGGGCACCACTTACCTCAGATGGCTCTTGGGCAATGGAAGAGGGGGGCTAAGACAGGCTCAGCTCTGCTCTGGCTCTGCACCTCTCCCCAAAATGGTGGGCATATGCAGCAGCAGTTTCTGGGGGTTAGAGACAGGGGGCTCAGAGCATTGCCCTCCCCTCTCCTTCCCCCCCTCCGGGCTCAGGCCCCACTTATGTAACATACACCCTGGTGTGGTGCACTGTCCTATCTAGTGGCACTGAGACCACTTAGAGAGAATAATGAGGCTTCTGTACAGCCTTAGTTGAGAGGCAGCTGGCTTTTAGCTCATGTGTTAGAGACTCAAGCATTACGCTCCAGAGGACCCACATTGGATATGCTTGTCAGTGTTACAAGTTGGGGCTCATTTCCGATTTTCAACTGGGAATTCTCTGAAACTTGGGATGTGCTTCCTTAGCTAGGTATGGAGTCCTGTGGCACCTTATAGACTAACTGAAGTGTTGGAGCATAAGCTTTCGTGGGCAAAGACCCACTTTGTCAGATGCATATAACTAAGTGGGTCTTTTCCCACGAAAGCTCATGCTCCAACACTTCGGTTAATCTATAAGGTGCCACAGGACTCCTTGCCGCTTTTGCAGATTCAGACTAACACGACTTCCTCTCTGATACTTAGCTAGGTATGTAATCCATAGACCATAGATGAAAGAAGTAAATATGTAAGACTGTGCATATGTGACCTCCCCCACTGTTACTTGAGACCATTGTGTCTTGTTTTGCCATCTGTCCCTACTGAGAACAGCTTCTCACCATCCTCTTTGGAACCTCCCTTCAGGAAGTTGAAGGCTGCTATCAAATCCTCCCTCACTCTTCTGCAGACTAAATAAGCCCAAATCCCTCAGCCTCTCCTCGTATGTCATGTGCTCCAGCCCCCTAATCGTTTTTGCCCTTTGCTGGACCCTTTCGAATGCATCCACATCCTTTTTGAAGTGGGGGGCCCAGAATTGGATGCGATACTCCAGATGTGGCTTCACCAGTGTCAAAGGGAAATAATCACTTCTGTAGATCTGCTGGCAATGCTCCTCCTAATGCACCCTAATGTTCCATTTGCCTTCTTGGATACAAGGGCACACTGTTAACTCATATCCAGCTTCTCATCAACTGTAATTCCCAGGTCCTTTTCTGCTGAACTGCTACCTAGCCAGTCACTCCCCAGCCTGTAACAGTGTTTGGGATTCTTCCATCCCAAGTGCAGGACTGTGCACTTGTCCTTGTTGAACCTCATCAGATTCCTTTTGGCTCAATCCTCTAATCCAGTGTTTCTCAAACTGTGCTCTGTAGAGCCCCAGGGCTCCGCGAGACGCGAGGTTGACAAACTGGAAAGCCTTCAAAAGCATAATTGAGAATTGCCTCGAGCTGACGCAATTAACACACACCGCTGGGGCGCGGCATACATTTTTACACATGTAAAGGGCTCCGGAGCCCAAAAAGTTTGAGAACCGCTGCTCTAATCTGTCCCGGTCACGCTGGACCCTATCCCTGCCCCCAAACATCTCTACCTCTGCCCTTAGTTTAGTATAATCCTCAAACTTGCTGAGGGTGCAATCTCTCAGCTCATCTAGGACATTGATAATGATGTTGAACAAAACCGACCCTAGAACAGAATCTTGGGGCACTTCGCTTGAAACTGACCACCAACCTAACATCACTGTACATTTCAAAATGTCTTTGTACATTTCAAAAGCAGAATCGCAGCAAAAGTGGCGTGAGTGGAGACTGCTTCAGTCCCTGCTCGTGCTGTTTCCTGCTGTGCCTCTTCCTCCCCTGTTCCCTAGGACATGGTGCTGGGTGAGAACCGGCTTTTAAGCCGGCTCCCCCAGGCACTGGCTTCTGCTCCCCCTTTGCTGTCTCTAGTAGAGGCAGCAAGGTGGGGGAAGCAACTATTTGCATCACTAGCTGACTATCTGATAAGCTTATGCTTATCGTATAGTAGACTGGTTGACAAGTTGCTTACAGTCCTAGTTTCCACCACTCCTGATTTCACCCTTAATAAATTTATTTTACTATCTCTAAATGAATTGCAAAGTTAGGTAATAGAACAGATTTATTTTTTAATTGACCAGTCTTGTGGATTTGTGGAAGCTTTTATAATTTAAGTTTCTAGTGTTTTAAAAAGGGAGATGCTACTTGACTAAAATTGGCTGATCACTTGGTCTTGCTTTTAGTCATGTATGTAACTTTTTCCTAATTGCAAGACACTGTTCAATCATGTGCATTGAACAAAGTCATGTTTAGGAGGGAAGAGAGATTTTCAAATTCAGTACTCTCTGTGGGCTTTATTCCGTAGTCCTTGTTCAGGCAAAACTCTAATGCTGCACGACA